ACCAGCTGCTCCTCAGAAACTCTATATGGAGTTGCTATGAGTCAGAACAGACTCAAGGGCACTTTAATAACAAAGGCAAGATTTTGTCTGATTTGGGGGATCCATGAATATTTTCTGAATGAATAAATAAATGTATATAAAAATTAAATGCAAACATAATGGAAGGAGAATTGTTAATAATTTTTTCTTTTCTCAGTTTTTGAAAATGTACAGTTGGGAAGTACTTTAAAAAGTTTAAAATAAATAAAGTGTCTGTATTCTCCACCAGTATCAAGCAATTAAAGGAGCTCTGGTAGTGTAGTGGTTACGAATCGGGCGGTGAACCGCAATGTCAGCAGTTCGAAACTACCAGCTGTTCCACGGGAGAATGATGAGGCGTTCTGCTCCTGTAAAGATTTAAAGCCTCAGAAACCCTGTACAGGGTCGCTATGAGTCACAATCGACTCCACGGCACACACAGCCACCACCATCAAGCAATTAGGACTCCTGGTGTGGCACCGTAGGATCAACACTGAACTTTGAACCAAAAGGTCGGCAGTTCAAACCCACCAGCTACTCCTCAGAAACCCCACAGAGGGTCGTTGAGTCAAAATCAACTCCATGGCACTTAACAACAACAACACAACGTTTGGCACCGAGTCGATTTCGACTCACAGCGTTTGGCAAGGAATTATAAAACTTGGAGAAGACTCAGTCAGCGATTACTGTATGAGAGTTGGGGAAAAACTTATTTCACAGGTGAAATAATGCGGATGTAAAGGTCAGAAACGTGGCTTCCGGTGCAGTATAAACTGCCTATTGTTCTTCCTCTTTAGTCTTCTGAGAAACTCATTCTCTAGCTCTTGGTGTTTCCAAACTTGAATCCTCTAATGAGAAAACTACTTGAAGAAATCTGGATGTGCTCAGGGAAATTATTTTGGACCACTCAGATCCAGATTGCTATCACTCATGTTTCAAGCCCCAGAGACCCTTTCCTCCTGCATCCTCCTTCTAGGGAGACAGGGGAGGGAACAGCTGGGGAGCAGTTCCTCACCTGGCCTTTAGGAGGCAGTTAGGACTCCCCAGCAATTAATTCACCTGAGGAACAGCAGCCAACTGCTTGCTCCTCACCCACCCCTTGTTCTCCGAGCAGCGGAAGTTTCTGATGTACTTCCAAAACTAGAGCCTCAGGATGTGAGGACACACCAGAGAGGACTCAGAGGAGCTGCAATAAGAAAACGGATTCAGTAAACCGGCCAAATGAGTTTCCAGGCTGGAGCTTCATTAGAGTCACCACTTGCCTGTTCCTTGCAGTCCTGTGAAGTGAGGGGCTGCCCTCCACACCTGTTGACCACCTTGGTCCTGGGGCCCACAGATCCTGAACATGCCTGGATCTCCCACCTCCGCCTCCAAGCTTCCCAGCCCAGGTTCTGACTTCAGTGTCCTGGGACCCTCCACTCATGCTTGCCTGCCAGGCTTCCCAGATCGAATTATTTTTCATGAGATCTGGGGCCTAAGTCCTGACCCTGATTGCTGACTCCCATCCTGCTCTGGAACTTTGAGGCCTGAGGTCTTTCTGGACACAGCAGAATAGCCCAACCTTTAGAGGGTTAATCAGAGACCTGAAGAATGGGAACATCAGAGGTCCTGGCATCACAGAGCCTGAGCTGGGAGCTGTACACAGCCAGAAAAGGGATGAACACCCTGCACTGATCGTTGACACCGAGGGCCCTGTGAGGGAGAGGTAGGCCAAGTCTAGTTCAGGTCTGCAAGTTGGAATATGTCTTTTTGATGGGCAGGCAAATGATAGAACAAGAGAGATCCTTTCTATAAGATGTGATTTCTGTTTCCCAACTGCATTTCCGCTAGAGGCTTAGTCAGGCCCCCCAGAACAGCTCTGCCCTGCTTGTGTGACTGCTTCAGTTTCCCACCCAGGGCCTGACAGAGACTACAGGGTTTGGGAGAGGGAGTGCTTGTTCCTTCTCTGGATATGGCAGCTTTACTGTCACTGTCATTCACCAGACTTCTTCTTTTTTATTGTGAACAGAGTGATAGTTTACATGGGAGAACATCGGCTTTACACCATCGTTTCATTGCGATGATTAAAATCTCCTCCGTTCATCATCGTTCAACAGTATTTGCTTCCATTCCCTCGGTTTTTCTTTCTTTTTTGGAGGGGTGGATAGGGGGGAAATGTATACAAAACCACTCAGGAATATATAATAATTTAAACAACCAAAGGGCACATTCTGCAAGGCTGCCTCCTGGCCACCAGCACTCAATCCCTCTCTTTCCATGAGTTTAGAGTCCTCAGCTGCTCCCTCTCTCCATATCCCCATCTCTGATGTCACTGCTTCTCTGGATAAGGTCCCACATTCTGCTTGTGCTCTTCTCCCTTGATGGTCCTAGAGTCCTCTGTTTCTGGACTGAAAGATTAACTACTCCCCCATTTTTCTTATAAAACTTCTACCTTTACAATTGTGACTGTAGTTAATTAGTCATGATAACAATTACTATTGAATCATAAGAATCTTATCCCCGTTTCTTTTCACCAGACTCATCCAGACAAGATGAAAACTATTCAGTGGGAATTCTATCTTCCTCTGCACACTCTGAAACTAAACTCCCTCTTGAAAACTTGTAAGCCAGTCACTTTGTACTTTTATCACCTCCTCATTTTAGGTAGCCAATCACCAGGCTTCTTTTTGAACCTTGGGTGCACAGTCTCCTTCTCTCTAACCTTCACTGCCACCCAATCTGATAGGGAGTTGCACTTGCTTAGGAGAATCTGACCTAAATGGCTCCACCTTGAAGCGAAGCCATCTGGGTATTTGTTCATTGAAAAAGTTTGAGATTTGAAATATGAGAAAATTTGAAAATATGGAGCCACCTACCCATGTGGGGAGGAGGAGAGTGGGGTCTAAGGGCTGCACAGAGGACTCCCCAAGCAGCAGCTGCTCCCTAAAATGGGTGCAGTTTAGCAGTATGATGTGCTTGTACTTCCACGTTCATTGCAGTTCTGCCCTCCTCCCACCAACTCAGAAGCCTGCTGAGGAGTTTTCAGATTTTCTGTTCACTATGGAGTCCTGGTGTGGAGCTGTAGGATAAACACTGGACCGCAAGGTCAGCAGTTCAAACTTACCAGACACTCGTCGGAAACCCTATAAAGAGTCACTACGAGTTGGAACCAACTGAATATCACTTAACAACAACAACAAATGTTATCTAATATGGAGGGGAAAAAGGACACTGTGGACAGCAGGCACCACAGAAGTCTCAGCTCTGTGTGGAAGGTCAGTAGTTCTCTATCTCAAGCATTGCCTTCCTGGGCCTTGTTTCAGAATTAGGCCCTCTTCTGAAGGGAAAGTCTGGGAAGGAAAGCCTGTCTGAATATTCAGGATGAGGTAGGTAGAGGACTATAGGGAAAAGGTGAGACAGAAAGAGAGAGGGAGGGAGGAAAGGAAGGAGATAGGAGAGAAAGAAAAGGGGGCAGGGAGTTTTAAGCTTCCAGTGGTTCAAACTCATCAGCTGCTCCTTGGAAACCCTCTAAAGGGTCATTATGTCAGAATTGACTCGACAGCACTTAACAACAACAACAACAACAAGGAATGATGAAGGAGCCCTGGTAGTGCAATGGCAAAGCACTCTGCTACTAACTGACAGGTCAGTGGTTCAAGCCCACTAGCAGGTCCACAGGAGAAAGAGGTTGTCTGTGTCTGTAAAGATTTCCAGCCTTGGAAATCCTATAGGGTGGTTTGACTTTGTTTTATAGGGTTGCTAAAGCCAGAATTGAGTTGATGTCAATGGGTTTAAGGAAAGGCAGGGAGAAAGTCATAAGCAGCTTTGTATTTTCAAGAATGCCAGTTGTGGGCTGAGTGGTGA